CCTCGGGTCAGTATGTCGGAGAGCAAGCGTGTGTTCGTGTGGGTGAGTGCGTAGTTTGTCTGTCTTACCTACGCGGAGTTGATTGCAGCCCAGGCACGAGATTACGTAGATTAAACCTGATTGTTCTCGCTGTTCGACTCGATCCTTGCCGTTGAAGAGAAACGAACTCATAGTAGCTACTTTGATTCCCAACGGTCGGATTATACGTTCAAGGTTTCGGACATGCCACGTCTGAAGGGTAATGTTATCCAAATTGCCTTTTCTGCATGTTTTTCCTTTCTGACCCCGAATGTAATGTTACCTCGAACTTCCTAATAGGCTATCCTATTCCTTATGAATCTGACAAATGAGCTGGTAGCCGCTAGTCGGATTCCTCGTGCTTGATGAATCTGACATTTTGAAGTGTTTAGGTCGCTAAACGGCAGCACCTCTTTCAATAACATGCAATTTTTATACGGTACAGCTTCCATCTATTGGGTCATTTATTTCTCATTTGAGCAGAGGAGCACCAAGTGACTGCGCGTCGAATGGCTAGGTTTTTTAAATTTGCAGCAATCAAGTTTTTGTACTACATAACAGGTATTGGTCGAGAATAACATACAAAATTTAGACCACCGCATGCGTCGGACTTCAGAAGGATGTACTTCGGGTAAAAAAATAGCCAGTGAATATCTGCTGTGCGATATAAGAGATGCCACCTTATTTATGGACGTGAATCGCTGAAATGAGGTGAACATTTTGACCAGGAACTTAATCGCACGACTAGACACCACGATAACCTATCGTGAGCAGAAAACTGAATAATTTACAGTCAACTACGAGTCATCCGATAGGATGGAAAGCATCTAGATTGTTGGTGAACTGAAAAATCAAGCAACTCGTGATTCATTTACCTCTGTCCGCAGTCAGCTCAATAGAACTGAATACCAACAGTCTGAATGTGTGACACTGACTGAAACGTAATTCAGCATGCTGAGAGGAGCTATACAAAATAGATATACAAGGATATAGAGGTAATCGAATTGCAAACTAAATCAAATTTAAAAAGACAATATACCCAGACAGTCAGACGAATAACCTCGTCTCTCGAGTCTGCAGACAATGGATGAAAAGTTGGACACCTCGACAGACTGGATCATGCTTTTTATTCGCCGAACACACTGAATTGCTTGATCTGAAGCTGATTTGGTAGCGATACTAGTCTTGGTGACAAACGTTGGTAGATCGTGCCTTTCAATTTTGAAATATCTCTTCTTCTGCGCATCGTAAAAGTAACCTGGAATATCTGGCAAGATAATCAGTGCATCATTTAACTAGAATGAAATCTCACCTGATCGTTCCATTAACAATTGAGAACACTTCCAACTGAAATATATTTACCGTGATGTTGGACGAAAAATGTTCCACTGCAACGGATTTAACCATGAGGTTTGAAAATCAATACGCGTCTTTTATCAATGTCCCAAGTAAAATGCATGTATTACCCATTGTATATAATGCTTACCGGATACATCTAATTGTCACTGGGACCCAATCTACATAAAGGAAAGCTTAAAATATGAATCTCGTGAGAGTAACAGAAGGATCACAATCAAAATAAGTAAAATATACCAACAGATGCAAAACATCAAATAGAAATAACTTATTGCGAATACATTAACAAGCTTATGTTTATATATAGTCGGTGGATCAATTGAGATCAATTGATCAATTGAGACGCCCAGACGAATCAGAAAGGCTTCTTGGTAGTCCACATGCAATCCCAACCAACCGGACGGACGACGGAAAACGCCTATTTCAACGTTGCGCTGACAACCGACTGTTACTGTCACTTTCCCGCAGAAGAAACGACACCACCTTACCTGGAAACCGCCAACAGACAAACGATGTCATCAGTGTACTCTAAATCGTACAGCTTTTCTCCATCCGCCCATTCAATACCAACATTTTGGAAACCACTTAGTGTGTTGTCCAGTATTTCGTCTACGAAGTTGAGCAGGAATGGCGAAATAGGGCACCCTTGACAAACACGACCCCTGGTTTCGAACTATTTGCACAGCCTACTGTAAACCTTCATGCTACCCGAAGTATGCAGGTGCATGGACCGTAATAGGTT